TCTATAATGAGTATATTTTTTTCTTTATGAATATATCTTTCATTAATTCATACATATTAACTTCTATTTAAAATCTTTGTTGAAAAGAATGTCTCATCCATCAGGTATTAAGAAAAAATTATTTACCGGATGTTTTGATCCTTCTCATTCATTTTGCATTTTAGAAATAACAATGAATAAAACTAACGCTTCACCACCGTCGACACCAATTGTTGAAAATAAAGTAAAATTTTATATTTTTGATACCATGTATATATTAACAAATATTGTAGGTAGCAATCGTTCCTTCAACTCACACAATAAAACGATCTGTTTCAGGTGAAATAGACGCTCCATCAAAGAAAATAATGGTTCATCATCAATTGGAACAAAACGATCAATATTCTACAACAGCATCATTTCCAGCAAAATTTGTTCGAGCAAGTCAAGTAGCTGCCATGAATAATATGAACATCAACGCTATACCAGAGATAAGCGATCAAGAGTTATTGGAAATGGCGTTAATTTTTGAAAAAAAACATCCCCAGTAGGCTTTTATCATTATACGATAAATTTGGCCACGAATAAAAAAAACTCTTTTTTGTGACATACTAATACTTATTGTAGTAGTTTTATTTCGTAGATGACTTTATTTATAAGTTTAAGAGTGCTGTCGTGTTCTAAAAAAAACTTACATATTCACATTGTTACTTATAAACAATTTTAGATTATATCTTTCCCACTTTGAACTTGACTTCGAAATTCTCAAAATTGCACTTTTACATTTTAGCTTATAATTGTAAGTAATTTATCAACGCATATATTTCACAAACTTTTTAATTCAACATTTAGAATGGCACAGTATCCATCGTGTCCTGTGTGTGATCTCAATATTGATTTTCTGGCTGATTTACCGACGGTACAATACTGTTGTGGCCATCTTGAACATAGTGAATGTTTTTTCGATCATCATCCACAGAACTATGTTTGTCTAGTGTGTGCTACTGTTTCAAAATTTCTGTTATTTAAATAGACCTATGTCTAATGTTTTAGTATTTAACATGTAGACCGATCTTCATCTAAAAAAGAATGTTTCTAAATATAACGCTATTTCAATGTGAAATGTATTAGCTTGTGAAGTGAAATATGTTACGTTTTTTATACTTGTACATACATTTGCACTTACATGGTGGTTTATCTATTGAAAGTAATATGAGTTACTGTTTTTAGATTATTCTATCGACTTATCGTTTCTGTTTTTCATCGTATATTTATTACCATTATTAATATTAAATAATATGGATAATTATCGGCCAAAACGTTTATGCACTGGAAAAAATAGTGAAAACTATAAATTCACTGTAGTCGATACTACATATGAAGGTAACTATTTTTCTCATAGCAAAATTGTATAATTTTATTTTCATTCATAGAAAATATTAGTACAATTCACGATTTGTGTTGTGATGTTTGGCATCAAATATTTAATTATTTTAAGATGATGAACTTATTCAAAACATTTGCATCTATCACCGTCGCAAGTGATCAAGTATTACTGAATGCAAACAATCATTTTCTTTTTCGGGGACTTACGCTTCACGTTGCTACTAGAAATCTTCCAGAACAAATTTATTTCAATCGTATCATCTCACTCACACTTCATGAAACAGCATATCTTACAATTATTGAACATTGTTCGGCACTTCGATCATTGAAACTAGTTGGGACAACCGAATGGATCACATCTATAATCAGAAAAAGCATTCAAAGAAGCATAAAATTGGAACAGTTTACTGTTAATATCGACAGAGTTGAATCTCTGTCAGAATTACTTAAATCTATTTTGTCTATTTTATCATTGCGTCGAGTAGAAGTTTGGGCCGATGAATTAGCGGAAATTGGGAAACTCTGCACTGTAGCTGTGATACCAAGTAAAGTCGAACAGTTCATCATGAGCACATGTTCGACAGTTGAGTGGAATGACTTATTCCATATGTCACCTTATTTTGTTAATATTCGTTTACTGAGTATTGGCTCAATAAGTAATAATCAAAAGTCAATGCCTTCATTTATTTGTCATAACCTTCATACACTTAGCCTTGAACTACATGAAGTATCATTTAACTGGATCGCTCAACTTGTGGCCACGATACCTTGTCTTAAGAAACTTGAACTATATGGTCTTGTCGATGATGAAGGCTTTATTATCAATCAAGGATGGACACATTTGTTTAAATCGACACCAACCCTTGTTCGGATATTTGTTAGTCTATCTGTGGAGCAAGGTAGAGAGTCTTACCAGAGTGAAAAAATTCAAGCAATTTTACGTATTTTTAATTTAAATCTTACATGCAACGATGATGAAAATGATTATTATCTATCTCATGGAAATGTACACCGATGGTGGAATTTAAGAGGGACAATCATTAGACAACAAAGTTATATTCAATCCGTTGAAACAACTATGAAAAGATACTAACCATGATATTTCAATAGACTCTGATCTAAATGTAGTATATATGTTGTTTTACATTTGTTAAATAGCCTTACTCTTGCATGCTTTCTGAAGTTTAAATTACATTTTACACATACACCACAATATCTGTTGAAAAATAGATTCAATAACCTATATTATAAATAATTGCTTTCTAGATTATTTCACTCGTTTCATACAACACATTCTCAATTGACAATTTCTAATCTTCATCATTACTAAGATCTCATAATAATATTGGTAAGTTCAACTGAAATAATGTATATTGTATTCATATCATAATATGTGTGAAACTGATTCTACACTGTAGAAGAAAGTTATAAGATTTAAAATATTATCATAATTTAATACCAAGCCTAAAGACATGCTCACAGATATGTATAAGAAGAATCTTCTAAATAAGCTAGATTTTTTACTATTTACTATACTTAGATACCCGAAGACGATCAGTTAGTTATTTGTAAAGCTTACGAGGAAATGATCGCATATATTATATAGTTGTTTTTGCACTCATAAATTTGAAAGAATAACCATAAATTTTATTTCAAATATATAGGATTAATATGAACAATCGATGCCTATTTTGTGGTAATTGGGCAACAACGGTCTGTTGCTTAAGTTGTCGTGAAATGAGCCGATCTGCAATGTTCGACACTCTTTTAATACAATTTAACAACGCATCTATTGCTGATGATTATTATAATCAAATCAAGATTATTTCTCAGCAAATTGAGACTGTATGTTTGATACTAATATTTTAAGTCACATTTTATTCTAACTATTTAGCTGGAATGGATTTTGCCGCCGATTCGATTTACTCCTGTTACGTACTTTGATCCAACTGTTCATAAAATAGATCAAGATGCAAAATTATATGTTCAAAAAGCGTCTTTGGACGTTCGAAATATGGTTCCGATTGAAGTCACTGGAAATGGCAATTGTCTATATAACTCAGTTATATGTTTGAGTGGGACTGCAGTTCTCACACCTAGCGAGCTGAGAGGTAAATACTTGCAAGACTAATATTTTTATGTTTTGTGCGTTTTTTTTTCTAGTGCGGACTTTAATTGAACTCGTCAAAAACGAAGTT